CCCCCCGAATCAAAATGTAACTCACCGGATAAATTTCAATGAATCAATTTCGAAATAATGGTGTTGAATCCAGTGCAGACATTTTACTTCATGTTTTAAATTTAAATTGGATGAAAATAAACTCGACAATTTCTTATTTTCGTTCGGGATATTAACCAACACTAATTATCCAGTCCAGCTGAATCCCTGTACTCAACCTCGAGGATATTTTCTAGACACTTCTATATCACACATAAAACGATAAAAGAGAATTTCAACGAAAGCCCAGAGTGTCATTCTAATTAATAATTTTCTCTGGAATTTTCGACTTCCCCAATGGCTAAAAATGAACTAATTAAATAATAACAACCTGTTGTCCTTTCTCGTCAGTATCACCACCTGTCCCGTGCCATTGGACCTGGGGGCCCCCGAGGCGTAGCTCAGTCCACTCCCGAAGAAGTTCCCCACAGTAACAGACATCCCCAGGTAACTGTACTTATTAACAGGCGATGCGTCCTGCATGGGGGCATGATAGACCGTGCTATCCCTCACCAGAAAGTCATCAGACACCGTGAACAGGTACAGAGTCCCCCTCCAGGTGTGGGGCCCAGGGGTCCCGATGACCACTCGATCGTCAGAAGTGAGGACTCCACTGGTGCCTGCCTGGCAGTACCCGAACTGCTCGTGCGCCTTGGCCGTGGGCTTCCCTGAGCACGGCTTCTTCAGGTCTTGATACTTGAGTTCGTTCGTCAGAATGTAGCACTGGCCCTGGCCCCATTGGGAGTCAGTTGTCTTCACTATGTGACGGTGTGCACAGACCATTACCTTCCCTCCAACGCCCTGGCTTCGGACTGTCACACCCAGCCACTGACCGTCCTTTATCTCGTCATTTCCGGGTGGGATCAACTCGTCTGAATCGATATCTGGAAGTTTCGGAGGTCAGTGGGGGCTAGGGGTGCGTGCACCCTGAGAAATGACGGATGTGAATCCGTTTAATAGACTTCAATATTTGGAGTTTTTTAATTCACTCGAAAAATTCACCCACTAGGTAGCTATTTGTGTAAAGCCTCAGACTGGAAACCTAGGGGTCGTGGGTTCAAACCCAACTCTCGGCATTTTTTTTTTTTTTTTTTTTCAAATTGATGATTCGTACTATTTCGTCCAAACATAAAATCACTTTTCATTTCAATTTTTGATGGGAATACATGAACTCATGAGTTTGTTTCAATGAAAATGTTGAAATTTCTCACAACTTTGTGTTTCAAAAAATATTTATCTGGTGTGAATAAAAAAAATCTCATTGATTTGATTGAAATGAAGTTTATTAAATTGAACTAATGCATTTCTCGGGGTTTGTGGCTAGCCACTAATCGTCTTCAGCGAGTAAAAATGTTAGTAGTTGAGTGCTGAGGTGAAAACTTCAAATGACATTTTTTGTTGAAGACTCAATTCTCGATAAAAAACGAGATCTACTTATGGAAATCTATCACTTCATCACTCATGTATTGGATATTTCTCTCAAAAAACGCTTGCTTCACAAAACCCTCGGCTGAGAGCTTTTTCGTGATGTTAGTGGTCGATAAAAAGTTCGAGGAGTGATAACTGCTGTCGAAGCAATGAAAAAAAACTGGAAAAATTATTATTAAAAATTGTTTTCATTTCAATCCTTCAAAGGTTCTCAATGTTCATCATTAAATTTTGCATGACGATGTAAATATCGTCTTCAATCATAAGCCAAACGAAGCGATTTGTGCGTAAACATGTGTTTTTGTGCAAGCAGGGCACTTTTTCATCATGAAAATAAAACTGAAATACTATTTGCAAATTTTGACTAATGAAACTAAATAATTTGTCTTCTCAAATCAAATTGACAGTCTTATTGATATTTTCACGTTGATTTCAAATCCATTTATGAGAAAAAAAATGTTGAAGTTTCGAGACCATATTTTTTTATTTCAAATAGTACTTCTCCAATTCAAACAATTTAAATTTTGTATTCATGATGCTTTTGCCAGCTCTGGTTTTAGTATGAAAACACAATTCAGCATTTGAATTATTCCGCCAATAACAGGAATAAATTCTTGTTGAAATGTGTAATGACAGATGCATTATGAAAACCTTAATGACAATTGTTATTCGCGTGCCAAAGCTGTAATGCAATTGTCATGCCTGTAATTAATAAAAATAAAAGATTGAATCATTCCAATCATTCTCCACCTTAATTCCACTTACTTGGACCATTTAGACCATCTTCAGCTGTTAAAGTAATTCATAATTTGTTTAGAATTTTTGCACAATGTTTGTTGTCTCGTACTTATTAGTTACTTATTACGATTTTATTACGTTTTTATATGGATCATTAGGTTATATTAATCATGATCTACTGTACATTTATGTAATACCATGTAATGTTACACCAGGTCATTCCTCAAAGCCGATTGTTTTACATGTCTCGGATGTTTATTTTGTTGTGTATGATCAAGAAGTTGCTCTAGTGAATTGTGGGGCATTTGCTGTTGTATTTTTGGGGTGGGGTGAGGGCAGGAAAAATTGACTCACTCAGTCTGCCGTCTGTTATGACCTGCTTGCAGTCACTGGTATTCGTGGTCAGTGGACACTGCCATAAAGCCCCAGATCTGTTGGTACCAGGCTGTCTATTTTGATCCAGAGGCGCGCCCACTAAGATCCTGAGATTGTACCGGAATTTAGAGAATTCGTTTTTTGGAGGTGAATGGGATTTTTCATTAATTCATTATCTCGATTGATTACTTAATTATTCAGGAGTGCATTTAAATTTTTGAAAAGGACAAGTTGCCCAGTTTTTTATTAACCCTCGATCACTCGCTATTTTAGCGTGTTTCTCGACGCTTAAAAATTCTGAAAAATTAGAGTTCCCAGTTCAATCCTTTTATTAAGGGTTGGCGCTGTCCGTTTTCTTCTCGGGGAATTTGTTCAGCTAGAAAAGGGAAAGGAACGTCGAACGGATAGAAAAGCGGCGCTGTGCCGTCCAGATCCGATCAATTAGCCCCTCATGTATAGATATTCCAAATTTTTATTTTTTTCCTCATTTCAATTGAAGGCCCGAGTTGTAGACCCGAGTTTGTAGCAGCGATGTCAGACAAGATATGAATGTTTTTTTGGGCTCAAATGAAAGAGCGGGTCGAGAAATGGCGTGCTAGGTCCTCTAAACATGACAAATGTCTCTAAAGATGATGTCTGTTTTCAATTGAAAAGCAGAGTTGTGACAACATTGTCTAGGAGGACAATGGGGTCTAGGAGTATGTATAGAACATTGGGGTCTAGGAGTCTCCCCTGGTTCAAAACCATCTTTAGAGGTCCTAGCACGCCATTTCTCGACCCGCTCTTTCGTTTGAGCTCAAAAAAACATTCATATCTTGTCTGACATCTTTGCTACAAACTCGGGTCTTCAACTCGGGTTTTCAATTGAAGGCCCGAGTTGTAGACCCGAGTTTGTAGCAGCGATGTCAGACAAGATATGAATGTTTTTTTGGGCTCAAATGAAAGAGCGGGTCGAGAAATGGCGTGCTAGGGCCTCTAAACATGACAAATGTCTCTAAAGATGATGTCTGTTTTCAATTGAAAAGCAGAGTTGTGACAACATTGTCTAGTAGGGCAATGGGGTCTAGGAGTGTGTATAGAACATTGGGGTGGAGGAGTCTCCCCTGGCTCAAGACCATCTTTAGAGGCCCTAGCACGCCATTTCTCGACCCGCTCTTTCATTTGAGCCCAAAAAAACATTCATATCTTGTCTGACATCTTTGCTACAAACTCGGGCCTTCAACTCGGGCTTTCAATTGAAGGCCCGAGTTGTAGACCATTTAGAATCATTTATCAAAGAGATAATTAAACAATTTCGAAACTTAAAAAATAGAATTCCCCAGTACATGATTTTAAATAAAACTCAATTCTACAACTGCATGAGAAGTTTATAAAATTCAAGTAAAAAAATAAAACCATTTATCAAAGAGATGATTAAATAATGAAAAACTAGGAAATTCAATTCCCCAGTACATGTTTATAAAATTAAATTTTGTAATGGTTAATTAACTAATCAATAAGGGACCTCGAGAGAAAGTGTTAATTAAATTTTTTATAGTTTATGAAACAATCTAAGAAAAGTATCTTGAAGTTTTTCAAAATAATTTAAAAAATAGACATAAATAGAAGTCAATTCAACAACTGCCTGAGAATTTCACAAAATCAAATAAAAAATGAAAAAAATTTAAATCGAATCAACAATCCCTCGTGATGATCTCAACTGAATTCCCTTACTCATCTCAAAACTATCCCACAACTTATCTCACGAAACATGAGCCAAGCAGTCCCCAGCTTCATAAAACTATGAATCATAAAAAAATAGACTCATAACAAGAATTAATAGAAAACATGGTGTGCTGGGTGTGAGCACTCCGTCTGTTATCTCCCCCCCCCCCTTCTCCACTTTTTATGGGACACCAGGAGATAAAGATGCCCAAATCATGCGAGCAGATGCCCCGGCGTCAGCAAATAAAAATAAAACAATGAAAAAATATAAAAAAAGATTATTCACCAGCGCTGGGCATTGTTGTCCGGCTCCTCCTGATGTTCAGCAACGGAATAACCGAAATAAGAACCACTTATTCCTCGCTTTATGACAGGTATCCTGGACTCAAGATTAAATCCATAGGCACTGAGCACCATAAACACTCCGATAATAAATAATCCGGTGTTATCCATTTTGTTCGATCACTCGTAATTGCTATTCCGTGTTTATTCGGTCATTGGGATTGGGACTTTTTAGCACAACAAAGAGCACTCGGGGATGGAATAGGTGAGATGAGGTGAGTTTTTCAACCCACACACTTGAGAGAGGCTTGGAGGTTCACTGACGAGAGAGGCGAAGATTCGTCTCCTCAACGCCCACGCTCCGTCGGCCGGCGAGAGTTCTTTCCTTTCTCTGGGGTCGTGGCGCATATTTATGGTTTAGGAGGGGGGGAACTCGGTGGGAACTGAAGTTGGGATGGAGAAGGGAACTTATCGATTGAGGGTAAGGTAGGTAAGAAGAGAGAGGGAGAGAGAAAAAAAAAAATTTATTTCGAGAAAAAAATTTTATTTCAAGAAAAATGTTTTTTCAAAAAAAAATTTTCAAGAAAAATATTTTTTTTTTGTTTCTCCAATTCTCTTATTATGAGACCATGTCTGAAACAACACTTAATGGATTTTGACTATCACGTGGGGTCATGCTCGCAAAAAGGGGGCAATAGGACTATACGCAAAAATAGCATCAATAATTAATTCATTAGAGTCGAAAATTTTATTTAATTGAGGTATCTTATAAAACGTGTCAACTGCATTACCGACCAACGGTAACAACCCCCACCATCTCCCATTCTTCCTTCTATAAATAAACCCACGGCATTCAAAAATAATTCGTCATTCCCGAAATACATTCCACCGATGAATTCTCTGTTTTCTCCCTCAATATTATCCTTACGACTCGCATAATGACTCCTCAAATCGCCCCAGGGGCCGATGACCCGCGCAACCTTCTCCATTATCATCCGATCGATCGAAAAATATGAATTTCCACTTCACGATGTCTCGATTTAATTTTAGATCCGTTGTGCCCCATTACAGCGTCCAATTTTTTTTCTCCATCCCACTGCTGTATGCTATCCCCACCGCGCCATCATTTCACAACCTCCGCTCCCCTCACCGCAACAATGTTAAGAGCCCCGATGTTATATACGCACCGGGGGAAGTGAAGTAAAAGCCAAGCGGATCCAGTCTCGGATCGCAGTGGATCGCAGCTCGATCGTGATCAATAGCATTAACATATCGCCATTATTCCCTAGAAATTTTTTTCCTCAATTTCACCGAAATAATCCCGTAATATCAGCGGATGAATCGGATATTTCGTGCGGGTTTAGCGCATCCTTTCGGAGTTGAATCGAATTATTCGGTTGTGATAAATTGAAAGGGCACTTTTGATTAATTTAGCCGACTCCGGTCGACTCCAGTTGACCCATTATCATCATGTTTAATTATTTAATCGGTTTGTATCACCCTCCAATTTTTTTTTTAATATTTTTTTTTCTTTTTTTATTAGTTTTTGTTTTACTGCGAAGAATGAAATAAACATCTCGATATTTAATATAGTCGTAATTTCAGCCAACGCAAAAATTTTCGAGTGCAAAAATGTAGTTGAATTCAAAATTTTAAATACTGAAATACTAAATTGAAAAAAAGTGAAAAAACTAAAAAATTAAGGATTCAAATGAACGGAATTGTAAAAAAATTGAATTTTTTTATTCAACTGTTGAAGAAAATTTCAATTTAAAATTTTACCGATTTCAAAAATGATTTTTTTGTTCAGAAAGAGATTGCTATTGTTATTATTTTGTTAAGAGATTGGATTGTTAAATGACTTTCCATTTTGCTATTTTATAATTTTCCATTTGTATTTAAAAATAGATTGACAATGAGAAGAAAAACCACTGAACTCACGTAGAAAACGTATTTAATTTGTGGTTTTCTACGAATACTCATTTCCATTGTAAATAAAACACGCGTGGTCATTGTTATTGGCTCTGTGTGAGTGCCCAAGGCGCAATTAAACCGGTGATGACCTTCTTCGTCGTGCGTGACGTTAACTCGATTACCGAGAGATAAAGTTGAGTGAATTTTTTCTGTTTATTTGGAAACTAGTGATGGAGTTTTCGTGAGTTTTTGGAGTAAGAGGACCACCGAAGGTGCATGGAGGGAAAATGGAAGCGGGTCGTTGGGTTTAAGAGGAAAAAAAATGTGGAGATGAAGGTAATTGGGAATTTTCTTCATCCTAGGGAATGAGTTATTTTGGGATTTATGTGTATTTGCTCGTTGGGAGTGTCAGGGCGATTAGGCGGCGTGATAACGCCTTATCGGTGGCTCTGTTTACTCCTAATGATGGTTTAATAACTTTTTTCATTGTATTTTATATTCGGAATTCCCATTTTTTATTAATAAAGGAGAAAACGTTTTTTTAATGAACGAGAGGGGAAGAAATCGTCAAGGTCTTGGGAGTAAAAAAATTACTGAAATGAGGGGAAAATTTTAGGCCATAAATTCTCAGTCGACAGGGGACGAAAAGATTCGAAAAATGGCTTAGAAAATTTTTTCATTTTGTAGAAATCGGATGGAACGAGTTGCGGGTGAACTGAAGAGGATAGATAATTTTGAGGAATGTTTAAAAATACGAGATGGAGGCGCCGCCATCTTGGAAACCCCTTGCGACAGAGGGAGGGGGTATCAAAGCAAGATGGCGGCGCCCGCACTTGTCGCCCACCTCGTATTTTTGAACGTTTCGTGGAATTATTTATCCTCTTTAGATCGCCTTCGACTCGTCTTATTCAGTTTCTAGGAAATGAACAAATTTTTCAAGCTATCCTTCAGATTTTTTTCACCCCCTTTTGGCTGAGAATTCATGGCCCAAAGGCATTCCTCCTGAGGACGCTTATTAGGGAACTTGCATGAATTTTTTTCAATCTTCTAATCTCAAGTTTGGGACCTGAATAATTCATTTTTCACTTACAAACGTTCGAAATATTGCCCATTAATTAATAATTAATTGTTAAAAATTGAACATTTCAAACACTTTGAAACCGCTAATAACGTCACATAGACGGTCGAGCGCTGGACCAATCACAGGATGGCTCGAGCCGACCTAACCCAATCTTGAAGTGCGCCTCAGCCAATGGACGAAAACAACTCCCCACTCTCTTCTTTTTCGACTAATGAAGCGTTACCTGACCGTCTTCGTGACGTCATAGCCGAAAAATTGGCCTCGAAGACGACTGATTTTCAATTAATTACCATAAGACATCTATAGGCAATATTTCTCCACAATTTTCGCCGTTTAGCAATCCATATTATATGGGGAACGTGTGAATAGGGCAATTAGAAATAATTGAGCTTCATGCAAGTTCCCGATTGTTTGATGTTCATCGGGATCACGAAGAGAAGATGAAAACCGTTTTTTTTTGTTTTCGGAATAAATTGTGGGTTTAGATGCAGTGGATGAGCCTCATGATCTGCCTGTACGCGGGGATGGCGTCAGGTCGGACTGAAGAGGACCAAGCGTCCCTGTCCGGTGGGAGCACGGAGTTGAGGGTGGGATTGCCACCCCCGGAGCGATGTTTTTACCAATCTCAGATGGAGTGCCCCGAGGTTGTCAAATCCGACGACTGCCCCTGCAAGCGGATTCCCATTCTGTCGCACACAAGTAACGACGAGAATGCAGTCTACTGCTGCAATTTGAGCGCCAAGAGCTTCGAATTTGGTCTCGCGTGCGCAAGTAAATGATCCGCTATTTGAGAATATGAATAGAGTAATTTTACGGAAATTCATTTCGCGAACTAAATGGAGAAAAGGTCGTACTGACCATTTTGGGATTTTTAGGTCAACGAAGTGGAAAAAGATCGTATAAACCTGATCTCGGGAACATGAAATTTGGGTGATTTGGGCTCTGCAGAATCATTTCGATCCACCTTTTTGTTTTGTTTGAGTACTATTCTTAAGTATATATAAGTTTGAGGATTTTTTTTCCACCAATATCTCTCAGATAGTGGAAGAATGAAAAAAAAAAATTTCGCTGTTTTCTCTTCATTTTTCTCAATTTTCTGATATTCGATCGTACTTTTAAGGGGAGACTACTGAATTTTAAAAGTCGCGGGCTATTGGAATGCGATTTCAATTTAGTTATGTCCAAAAATGAATAATTAGTGCAAAAAATGAAGGAGAAACGATTTATCTCTCCGTTGAGTTTTTGAGGAATATTTCCGAATTTAAAGGAGATAGCGAATTTTTCGTAATTACATTTATTGTAGCACTCAATTGGCTCTACAAAAAAGGTTATAACAAAAATTTAGCTATCTCCCTTACATTCCGAGATATTCTTCGAAAACGGGCCAATAGCCAAAATTGACTTCTCCCGTTTCACCACCTTGCTACTGAATTCGATTTTTTCAGTCTGTCCAATAGCTCTTTCCACTTGGCTGACCTAAAAATCCCAAAATGATCAATACAACCTCCTTCCATTTAGCACACGATTTGATCATGAAATCTTGCAGATTTTCCATCAAATGTTTCTTACATTCACATAAGAAACGCAACGCTAGACGTCTTCAACGTGTCAGAAGTGAAATGGAGACGACTGAAGTCCCTGGCAATAACCGATGGCAGGATTAATCGAATAAAGGGGCAATTTCTTATGATGACTCCAACACAGTGTTTGAACTTGTCTAATAATGGATTGATTGAAATTGAGAATAATTCATTCACGAGATTGGCGCAATTGACCAGTCTCGATTTGTCGTACAACAATGTGACGCATCTGCCGGCTTTGAACACCATGCATGGACGTGAGTTTTGGATTGACATATCGGGGACTAATACACTCATGTGTCACGATGTTTACCAGTCCATCAACAAAACTGGGGAGAAACAGATTCATTTCAATAGGGAGAACGAGACACTCTGCTCGGCTAGTAAGACGTGGCACTGGTTTAATACGACTGAGCAGGTACCCCTCAAGCAAGTGAGGTATTTGAGCCAGGTGTGTATGACTTCACATATGAAAAAATCGTATAGAAATTTTCTATACGGATTGCGTACAGAAATTCTATAGGATTTCGGTATATGATATTCAGATATTTCTGTGCGAATATTTTCTATACGAATTATTTCTGCTCATAAATTTTGACATAAATTGTTGTTTTCATACAAAAGATGTCTAAACGCTCCGGAGAAAAACGTAGAGAAATGTCGTAATTCCGTACGAAATGTTTCTATACATGTCGCAGTGGATCGTATAGGATCAAATCTATAGAAATCGTATAGAAATAATTTGTATAAAAAATATACTCTGTATTCTATATTCTCAATCCGTACAGAGAATCTCTCTACGATTCTATACTTTGATACTAGGGTAAACTGCCCAGTAGATGGACACCTAAGAAAACCGCCCAGTAGATGGACCTTTGTTTTTTAGCAATTGACAAAAAAATTGATGAACAATTCACATTTCAGTATTTTTTTGCGTAATTTCCTATTCAAAAGTAGCTCGTCCATCTATAGGGCAGTGCCCATCTACTGGGTAGCTTACCCTAGCAAATTCACGAATCAATTCGATTTCGATGGAAATTTTCCTAAAAAACTTATATTCGTTTTAAATCCTGGGTGTTTATATGACGAAGTTCTGTTTACACGTCAGTCTCGTTGATTCTAGTTCCCAAAACATTTTCCTATTTCCGATGAACACCCCCATTTGAGTCAACACTCAATTCTACCTTATTTCAATAACAACATGGCTTTTCGAGCGATTGGAATTATTTTTGAGTCGGAACGTACGGAATTTTATCAAGATTATCGAGCTATTAATAGTTGGAAATCAACAGAATAGGCCCTTTTTATGCCCAAGGCCATTCATTATGAGCACCACATGTCAATGTACTCTTCTTTATGATCAAATTCAGCTGCAAACCGAGTGCCCAAAAGGTGACAACTGGCAGTGTCAGTGTAATTTCCGTCGTATGGACATTGTCGAGGGAAAATCACCGACATTAGCTGTTAATGTAGACTGCACTGGTATGCAGTTGACCGAATTACCAGATCGGCTTCCGCGTAACACGATAGCACTCAATGTTTCCTACAATAACGTAAGTCATAATTCATCACCGCACTGGATATCCCAAGAGCCTCAAGAATCCCTCCCACTAATTTCAATTTTTCCTTTCCAAGATCACAGTTCTCGATTACTTGAGCACAAATCATTGGTACGAGGATCTCAGGGAGTTTTACGCTGATTACAACAATATCTCGTCCATCAACAAACTCGAGGGCTCAAAGTTCCTGGATAATTACGCATTTTTGAGTCTCAGATACAATAAAATCAAATCTGTGAGTATCACAAATCATTTATTTTGGCTTCGTGAGGAGTAAGAATGCCTTGTTTTTCAGCTACCAACGTACATTTTATCTCTCAACGGGCCTGATAAGAATTATGCACTCTCCAAGGCTGTGAAGCTTGGAGGGAATGCACTGCATTGTGATTGCAATACTGCTAAACATTTGAAGGTAAATTGTGAACGGTTTTTTTTTCAATTTCGTTGAATAGGAAACTTGCGTGAATTTTGTTCAATTTTCTAATCTCAAGTTCAGGAGCTGAATAATTTATTTTTCATTCACAAACGTTTGCAATATTGCTCATTAATTGATAATTAGTTGCTAAAAGTTGAAGATTTCAAACGCTTTGGAATCGCTAATGACGTCAATTCATAAGACATCTAGGCAATATTTCTCCATAATTTTCATCGTTTAGCCATCCACATGTTACGAGGAATGTGTAAATAGGGGAATTAGAAAGAATTGAGCTTCATGCAAGTTGCCTATCATTTCCCCTCGATAAACGTTCATTTACTAAATCACAAACAAATTCCTCAAGGGATGGCTGCAAGCCAGGATTCTCGATGCCGACGAAGTCCTCTGCGAGAAAATCAAGGAACGAGTGACCGAGCTAGACGCCTCGAAGATGTGCGTCTACCCCGGAGACTGGACTGATTACATTTACTACATTATCGCGACTGAAGTCCTTTTGCTGATAAGTCTCGTGGCGAAGGTCTCCTACGACTACTGGGTCTTCAAAACCGCTGGATATCTACCCTGGCCGGCCAACAAGATGCCGAAATTACCTTGCGATTGGCTGTGCGAAACTTAGGCTCAGTATACTGTCAACCCTCTGTATAAGATACCTCGAGCTCCGAGCACTCGAGGATTACCCTCACTGTCGGCCGGTCATTTATCGACGAAAACAGAGTGATCATAAGCGTCAAACGGGAGGGACGAACGAAGTGATCATAAGGGTCAAATGGCCCTGAGGGTCGAATGATCTCGAGGGTCAAACGTGAGAGACGAGTGGTGTGATCATAGGGCTCCAACGGTCTTAAGGATCTAAACTCCCTCTCGACCCTTTTAGCGATTTGACCCTTACGATCACACCTTTGACTCCAGTGTTCCTATCACGTGGGGTCATGCTCGCAAAAAGGGGGCAATAGGACTATACGCAATAATAACATCGATATTAATTCATTAGAGGCGAAAATTTCATTGGATTGAGGTATCTTATGTAGAGTCGACAGTATTCTCCACTGACATCTCAATCTCAAGTATTGATAACTTGAAAAAAAAAGACTAAGTCAAGTTCACTTCATCATTTTCGTATTTAAAATATATTTTTGACAGGATTTTTACTACCGAAACGATATTGAAATCCAATTGATATTTTTTATACTGGGGACGAATGCAAAATAAATGATAAATATAAAAAAAACGCGATTAAAAAATTTTTTTTTTAATTTGATGAACACTCGAAGATATTATTGATGCATAATAATCCAATTAATGATTAGGTTGCACCCATGACTTTTGATATTAAAAAATAACCCATGTAAATGAAAATATTCTAGTCGATATTGGTGTCTGATCTAGATATTCAAGAGATGTTGAACTCAAATCTGTTTTTGTAATTTGTAAAATGCATTTTCAATAAAAATGAAATAAAATCAAATTTTATTCGGGCTTACGTGCTTTGACTCCAGATTTCTTCACACCTTTCGTATTTTTGGATTTATGAATATTTTTAGATAATTTTTTGTTGACTTTAGGCACTTCTTTCTTGTTTCCTGATTTTTCTCCTTTATTTGAACTCTCCTGATGCTGTTTAATGGATGGTTTTGTGGATTTTTCACTGGAAAAGTCAAAAAAATGAGTTACACTCCGTAAATTGATTAAATTAATCAATTTTTTGATGAATTAATCCATTAATTTCATTGATTTACGAAAACTTTCAAGAAAATTATCAAATTTCCAATCTACATATTTTTTCATCTGCATCAGTAACTGTTTGAGAATTATTTAAATGATTTAATCACCTGTTATTCCTTCTCCTCCTAAATTTAGGAATAGTTGATATGGAATCACGTTTGGGTGCCTCCCTCTCCATCTTCCTCCTATCCCTCTTGCTGTGTTTCTTCATGGCTAGCATATACTCAGGAACTTGACACCCAGAGTCCCTCATGATAGCTGCGATGCTCCGCAAATTAGCAGTATCGCTCTCAGTGAAGAATGTGATGGCTTTTCCCCTGTGTCCAGCTCGTCCTGTCCTCCCGATCCTGTGGATGTACGATATTGCTGACGGTGGAAAATCGTAATTGATGACGAGATTGACACCCTTGAAGTCAATGCCCCGACTCATGAGCTCTGTGCAGATGAGGACCCATATTTTTCCCTCCCTGAAGCACCTCACGACGTTGTCTCTCTGGGGGAAAAAACGAGGAGTAAATTTATCTTGCAGATTTCCATCAATATCAGAGGTAAAATGGAGACGAAAAGTCCCTGGCAATAACCGACGGCAGAATTAATCGAATAAAGGGGCCAATTTGATAACAATAAGGTTTTTTGAGTTTCTAGAAAATGCAAGAGAATTCAGGCAGTTTATTAAAATTCTGAAAGAATTCAAGGAATTTCGAGAGAATTCCGGGATTTTCTAGAACTTGCGAAAGAATTCAGGGAGTTTCTGTAAAATTAAAAAAAGAAACTTTAATGCTTTCAACCTTTCTAGAAACCCAAGAAGTCAAGAAAATTTGAGGGTTTTCCAAAGAAATTGATAAACTTCTCGGTTGTTCTAAAAAAGTCGAAAACATTGGGGTATTTTTTTTTAATGCAGCAATTCTTAAAAATCCTGATATTAAATTTTCTCTTATTCTGACCGGTCGAAGCCGGCCAACACAGTAAATTCTAAATAATCACCTGTGTCTGCGTTCTGTCAGCATGAATGACATCCACATTGATCCCATCATAAATCAGCTCGTTGAACAGCTCCTGCGCCCTCTCCTTGCTCTGCACGAATATCAGAACAGGTGGAGACAGTCCCCCGGAGATGATATTCCTAAAAGCCACTAGTTTCCCCCTCTCGCTCCCCACGAACGTCAGCTCCTGCTCGACTAGATCGGTCGCTGCATTCCTGTGGCCAATGGTCACATTGATCAGACCCTTCAGATTGTGCCTGCACCACTTGGTGACGACTGGTGTGTTTGTCGCACTGAACATGGCTCTCCTCAATGTCTCGTTGGTGCAGACCTTCGATACCTGCTCCAGCTGGTCCCTGAAGCCCCTGGTCCCCTCCTCAAACAGCTTGTCAGCTTCATCGACAATCAGAAACTCCACGTTTGAGAGATTGATGGCTGGTGGATCCTGATTTAACAGGTAGATCAGTCTCTTTGGGGTTGTTATCAGGATGTCGAATTTCTGGGAGCTCTTGGGCCCGTATTTCTCCAGAGCTTGCTTGACCTTGCTGATGATGTGGATGCGGAAGCCACGTCCCTCTGACAGCCTCATGCATTCTCGATAGGTTTGCTTTGCCAGTTCTCGGGTCGGGCTGAGGACTATCGCCCTGAATCCCAGCTTTCGTGGGCCCTCCAGGTGGTGGATTATGGGCAGGAGGAAGGCTGCTGTCTTGCCGGATCCTGTCGGGGCACACGCCAGGACTTGACGGCCCTGAAAGAATCGGGGGAATGGGGCTTTTAGATCTTTGTGGGTAATGGGGGTTACTCTGTAAGGAGTGAGTTTAGGAGGAAATTTCTTCAGGGATTTTTGGCAGCGATTTTTGTCGCCTAGAAATAAGTTCTTATGACATTTTTTCTGGAGATGCTTCTTTGTTGAGATATTCGCATTTTAAGCAAACTCTAATTTTTTGTTAATTGTTATCTCAATAACGAGGGGTTCTAGAGGAAAATGTCTCGTATATAATTTGTAGCAATTTGAGTTCTCTGCAAAAAAGTTTTATGACATTTTCTCCTGAAGTCAATGGTTCTCCGGACAATCACGATGAAACGAGATAATTTATCTAAAAAATTAATTCACCTCCAGAAGAATCGGCATTGCTTGCATCTGAATGGGCGTGGGCTCCTTGTACCCGCATTTATTAAGATTCTCGATCAAGTCAGCTCCAACCCCATGACGAGCGAGTTCCTCGAATGAAGCTATTGGCTCAGGAATCCTTCGGCCAACGACAGCAATCTTGTGAGAATTCCTGAACTGATTGATCTTCTCCTGGTGCTGCTGGGACTCTCTCTCCTCGGTCGTCATATTTTTCTTTTTGGTGTTCTTGCGATCATCAGTGGCCGTGGAAAGTCCATTCAGAAGTGTTAAAGTCTGTCCTTTTGGTGATGAGGCGTCAATAGTGGTGGAATCATCTTCAGGGCCTTCGTCTCTTGCTTTTCGTTTTTTTGATGGGGAGATATCGTCCACAGGCTCGATTTTAATGCTTTGAAGGTTCACATTCTTCTCTAATTTCTTTCCAAACTAGAACAAAAAGAAAACTGATGGGCAATTCTGGAAATTTTTTGGGAATACTTTGAATGTCCGAAGAAATTCGACGGGATTATCAAAATTTTCAGATTTTCTGGGATTTTTTGATGCAAAAATGTGAAATTAAATCAAACAAAAAAGAAAATAATCATTCAAAATTACACAAAATCCCTCTCACATCATCCCCCATATTCTCCTCAAAATAAATCATCTTCAAACAAAAAAAAAACAAAATTGATAAACAAATCACAGAAATTCTATGGAAGTAGTTGAAAATTTCAAAAAAAATTCTGTAATAAATTATCAAAACCATTAGCACTCCTGTTTTGCTGCGAAAAACTTCGAATTGAATGAAAATAATGACGAGAACCCACCCAAAATCACTTTTACACCTTCAAAACCCCGAATTCTCTCCAAAATAAATAATCTCCTGATCGTCAATAAACAAACCACATGTTGTTGACATCTCCCCTGAGCCCTAAATCACCAAAATCATGATCCCACTCACCTGGAAGTACTCAATGTCCTTCTTAAACCGTTTCTTATCGAACTTAGCACCTGCCGACAGTTGTTTAAACAAATCAAAAGCGTCCATTATCAACTAAACAATGAATTTTCCATGAAAAAAACAATTATTTCGCACATGGGAGTCACGTGGAGAGTGGGGGGACACGACAGTCAGCAACTGGAACCCGCTAGGGGCGCCACATCTCCTCGAAATCCCCCTAGTGGCGAGAAAACTCATTAGAAACTTCTAGGTTTTATTCTCAGAGGAATTTCTTGATAAATAAATTTTTTTTGTTAAATATCTCGGGGATGAAGGCATTTAGACAAAAATGTCAAAATAGAAGTTTTGTAGAGAATTTTATGGGCTACAAAAAATTTTTTATGAGAATTTTTCGTGAGACGGCTCGTTTTCAAGTTATTCTCACTTATAGTGTCACGAAAACTCTCTGGAAGCCGCAAAAATTCCACCAGTCACATTCCTTTCTAGGTTTTATTCCCAATGGAGGGATTTAACGAACATCTGAGCATTGTTTATCAATTAAAATTGGCGGGATTGTCTCAGTAATTACTGGCAATTGCTTCATAAACCTTCAGGAAAGCTCGTCATGGCGAGTGCAGGGAGTAAGTATCTGAAATAATCAATCTAAATAATCAGAAAAATGATTGAAAAATCGATGGAAATTATTTTTGGAGAGAGAAAATGGTTTGATTTATGGGATAACCTTTCTGTTGTGTCAGAATTGCAACCGGTGAAGGTCGCTGAACTCCTGGGGCACCCAAAAAGTGCTGGAAAAGAGTCAGGTAATTAGTGCTTTTCTTCAAATGGAGATAATTTCGAGATTTGAGGTTTTCAATAGTTTTTTCGGGGCTTTGCAGTGTCAGAGCGCAAGAAAATGGAGCCTGTGAGGATAAAACAACTGCTGGAGTCCACCTCGAAGTCCTGTTCTCGCTCTACTGGTGAGTCAGATGGTCTAGGGTTGATGATCTTGGGGTGGAAAGGGGAGAAGTTGATTCAATTCGAAGGGATCAGAGAGTGAGACGAGTCTGGGGAGAATGTCAGACTTTTTTTGGTGGATATCTCGGAGACGAGGGGGCTCAGAGGAAAATATCGAAAGGGATTTTTTTGGGGAATTTCATGGGCAACAAAAAATGTCCTTTGAGAATTTTTCGTGGAGCCACTCGTTCTCGAATTATTTCCATGTTTAACAAATATTATTTCCATTGGAAGTAAAATATTTTGTGAAGTCAATTTGGTTATCCTTTACACATGTTTAATTGTCTAAATGAGGAGTGGCTTTAGGGGAAAATCTCACGAAGTATTTTATTTATTTATTTTTATTTTATTAAAATTTTTATTTCCCTAATGAAACTATTTAATCAGAATTAAGAATAAAATCATTTCAAACATTACGAATCTATTTTAATCACGACATTTGAGGACCACAAACTAAATCTATGTGATGATTGAGTTCAGGGGAAAATATGAAGCAACATTTTATTTCATTTCCCTAATGAAACCATTTACTTACAAGAAAACAATTAAAAATCTATTCTACTCCCGACGCTTGACGTCTATAAACTACAAATCACCCATGAACATTCCAACAATAATTTCCCAATCATTCGTCCCCGTCCACAGATCGCGTCACTCGGCCCACGTTCTTAATCCCAGGGAAAGGTGTTCGTCGGAAGCTGTACGACCGCTCGCCCTCCCCGCGCACCAGTAGACCCTCAATCTGTCCCCCGAAGTGGACGCGCCCCTCGACCCGCGCCTCAGCAATCGCCCCCAAAAACCCCTCCCGCATGACCCTCCTGCCCCCTTCGAAAGCCCGACAGTCCCTCCTCCCCCCTCATCCCTCAAAACCCTCGACAAAGCCTCGAAAAAGCTTCCTCCTCCCCCCGAATTCCATCGTGAAGCAGCACATGGAGAAGTCCTTCCACGAAAAAACAATCCTGGAGGCGTCCCTCATCATCACGGAAGAAAATCCCCAGGATAACCCCCAGGAAACGGTGAGACTCGAGCGGCCAACAGTGATAATTCGCTCGCAATCGTCGAAGAAGGCTCAGAAGCCCTCGGAACCTCCCCCCGAGGACCTCGACGCGACCTTCTCCAAGGACTCAGACTCCCCGGAGGACCTGGAGAAGTCACTGGAGAATAAAGAAAACATTCCCCCACCTGTCGAGCCCTCCACGCAGCCCCTGGCCGAGTCGAAGTCCGTTAAACTCGATTCGGAGCTGCCCCAGGAGATACTGAGACGTCTCGAGAAGATAGAAGTGGCCATCGAGGAGATCAGAACCACGCAGAATCGCAAACTACAGACCGTGGAGCAAATCTACGATTTTTTGAAGAGTTTAATTGAAGGGAAGAGAGAGAATTCCAAAGTTTTGGCGACTCTCGATCGGGTTTTGGATAAGGAAAATTTGGTTTCTGGGAGCAGATCCAGGAGACGGTCCAAGGCCTCCCCTGGGGAGCGCAGGCGATCGGCTAGGATTGCCGAGAGGCAGAGTAATGACCCTGATGACAGCTTTTCGATGCTCGAGGAGAAGCTCAACGTGAAGTCCACTGGGAAAAGTACGAAGGTCGTGACGCCAGGGAAGAAGACTCCGGTGCACGATCAGTTCATGAGGCGCAGGTATTAATCTAATTATCTCGGTTATCAGTGGGTTTACGAGGAAATGACTCAAGAGTTTTTTTGTAGAGAATTTTGGGGGCTGTAAAAAAGTTCTTGTGACATTTTTTCGGAGGGTGGCTCTTTATCGAGATATTTTTCATTTTTAATAAACTCGAAAAAAAAAAATTTCTGTTCTCGTCGTTTTTTTGTTTTATTTTATTTTTATTATTCTCTATGACAAGCTGTGGTAACTTATTGGTTTTGGGCTAAATAAAAAAAATTTGATAAACTCTGATTTGATGAAAAAGAAAATTCAACGATACATTGATATTTTCACTTTCTGTTGATCATTTAATTATCTCGGTAATGAGTAGTTTTAAGGGAATAATCTGTTAGACATTTTCTGTAGAGAATTTCCTGATATGAAAAAAGATTCTTATGACATTTGTTCGTAGGATCACCCGTTGTGATTGTAATTACGCGTTTATGAAGTTTATTTTGTGAAAACCGTTGTGTTTTTTAAATTCACTGGTTTTGGTTTCGTTTTTTTTATATTTCATTCTTTATTTCGGAATCTAGGTGCAAGAGTGAAAGGGCGTTGAGGGAGTACCTCGCGATGAAGGCGAGCATGAGTTATCTGGAGACCCCGGAGGCTGGAAAGCTCAGGGAAATGCAGGGGGTGAACACTCCTTCTGGGAAGAAAAGCCTGAGGAGGTCGATATCGAGAAAAGTCTTTGATGAACTGGAGGATCTTTACAGCGATGATATCGAGTAGAGGATTATTTTGTCGAAGCATTGATTGACTCTAAAGATTAATTTAAGGAGATTTATATCTATTGAGAGGCAATGGAGCTTACCATCGGAGTAGTAACTAGATTTCAAGTTTTTTCGTCGTCAGACGACTATTCAAAAAAACACAAACACGCTCACATTATCAATAATCTTGGTATTTATAATGTAAGAAATTGGAACCCAATTTCTACTCCGATGGTAAGTTCCATTACCTCTTGAAAGTTTAAAAAAATTCGGAATAGGTTTTTATATTTTTGTAAGGACTAGGCAAGAGTTGGGAGGATTTTCTGTATAAATTGCATTTTTATGAACAATAAAAGCATCAGAATAAGAATATTTCCATGAGGAATTTTTTCGAAGAACTTGCTCGTTTCCATTTCATTGTTCCAATTGTTCTTGACTTTCTTTATGGAGAAGAATTCCACAATTCAATTGAATTTTAGTTTGAATTTGTTAGTTTTTTAAATTGAAGTATGATTTTTTAATGACAAAAGTCATTGCAATTTCAGCCAAAAATTTTGAACAGTGAAATTTCAACCAAAAAAATTATTAAACATTAAAAATAATAATAGTGTATTGTTTACTTGTATTTACAGTATCTGGAACTAATAAACAAAATAATGAAACCGTATTGAAACAGAAAAACACAATAAAAATCAAAAATTGAAAGAGAATTTTTCATTTATTTTTGAATCCATCGCCATTTTTCTTGGAGCCATTCGTCCCCTGGGCTCCCCCCAATTTTCTCCCTCGCATCTCGGATCGTTCATCATTCCATCACAGTTCGTCATCGAGTGCAGATCGCGCGCCGGTTCTGGAGTGATTTTTTGTCAAAAAAACGTCAAAATGCCCCCGAAAAAGGCGCAAAAGGGCAGAAATGGTTTCTGGTACTTCATGCAGGATTTCAAGAAGACCCAGGAGCATCACGGGCGAGTATTTCCCGGAGGCTTCAAGGATATCCAGGCTGATCCAGAGTGTTCCAAAGCGTGGAAGGTGAGTGCACACAGAACAGGATTTTCCTTTGTCACGTGACATCTTGAGAACATTCTCTTTGTTCTGATCAGGCGAAGGAGGCAAAATGAATTCTCTTCAATCTTCAATATTATATCTCTTCACTAAACCATGCGATTGGGATGGGTCAGGCCTCATTTTGAAGCTTGAAAAAAAATCTTTAAAATGAAAGAAAAATTTGGAAATTTCACTCGGCTGAAGTCGAGTTATTGACGGTTGAACAGGGGCTTTCAAATCGGAATCAATTCGCTTGTTTACGGTAGGAATTCATTGGAGTGTTATGGTTGCGAGAAGGGGGAAGGGAGATTCTGAAAACAAAGGAGTGGTTGTTATCCCACGATTATTTTAGGATGAAGAATATCATGGGAATTGTTGGGGACTTATGAAATCGAATTCATCCGGAAAAGCGAATGAAACGAAATTGATGTCCTGAACTCTTGATTTTCTTAGGAAACATTTTAAAAATCTTAGAAAATTGGAAGGTCTACGTTTCGACGATCATTCATGAAATAAATATTTTTTTTATTCATTTTATTTATTCATCTTTTTGGTATTACAAACGTTTTCTTTGTTCTACACCTATGTAGGCCTCCGCCTCTCCTTAATACTTAGATAACGTCAATTATATAAATTTTTTTCTAAATTCATATTTTCATTTAACTCTGTTCTAAGTAGTCAAGATCAAATATCACTGTTATTCACGAAATAACTAAATAATTACAATTCTTGAAGCTTAAGACATTTTTTCATAAAAATGTCATTAAAAGTTATGTCTTCCTTACAAAAAAAAAATTTACACCACCTGCAGAAATTATCAGAAGACGAGAAGAATCGCTACAACACAATGGCAGACAAAGAAAAAGGGCAGCCGAGGTTGACGGGCTGGGGTGAGCCAATTTCTCTCGTCCTGGAGAGACAGAGGAAGCACCAGGAGTTCGGGGCGATCATGAAGGCCGACATCGACGAGACAATTCGCCTGGCCCAAGCCTGCGACAACATTCCTGACCTCACAGTCTACTTCATCCATGTGAACTACTCCTACTGCAAAGATCGCCCTGACACTACAGTCGACTACATCCCCATAGAGTTCGCAATCTGCCAATTTTCAATTGCTGATGGGATCAAGAATGTTTATCATGAGATTGTAAAAGTCAAAGTGGAGCTTGGTTTTGCTAGAGTCGCCATAGAGCACGCAGACAACACTCACAAGATTCCAGAGAATTATGAACAGGGGGAGGACGACTACAAGAAGATGTACGAGAAATTTCGAGGCTTTCTCAAGCCCATGGAGGACCAGACTGGCAAACTGCCACCGATTTACACTCGTCAGAAGTTCGTCACGACTGTCACTTGCTTTCTGGACAGACTCACAGCTGGAGGGGGTACGTATACTGGTAGAAAATTGTTTATGAACAGTTTTAGGAGATGATTAAACTTTAAGGATATGCAAGTAATTTGGATATTTTTTCTCCAGTGAAATGCTTTTCTACTTTTGTTATTTAAAATTCAGCAAAATTAAAAAAAAAACTCAAATAAAACCAATTACTTAGAATTATTTAGTTATATTCCTAGTATTTATAAATAATAAATCGAGTGAAAACTCGAGATAAACACGAAAAATAAACTGGAATGAATAATAGATAATGAACAATACTTTGGACTCAGTCTTTGAATTTTTTCATCTCCCTTCAGATGTTCCGGATGACACCTTTACTCTGTACTCCCTGGAGTGCCTCTTTGGAAAGCTAATGGTCCTGTGTAACCCCGAGGTCGATCGTTTCTGCAACCCAATTCTCCTGGCCGAATCAGAATTCGAGAAGGATTCATTCGCCTATTTCCCAAATCTTGAGTGCGAGGTATTCAATTAAATATTCAACAGATTTTCAACTGTGTCTTCTGAATATTAACTGCATAAATAAATAATCAAATTAATTTTGAAATATTTATCAATGTTTTTTCTAAATAAAAAAGCATATTCAAGCATGAATCACTAAATCAATAAAATAATAAATTATCTTTTAATATTGTTTCTAATATTCACCAAAATTCGTGAAATTTTACATTTGCTATACAATTCTATTGTTTTACACTTTTTTATTGATGTTTGATTGTCTTTTTTCACTCGCAGTATCACCAGAAGATTGAAGGTACATCCATCCATTGTTCGTTCTCAATAATTCGACAGTGGGCCTTCGTCATTTGTGATTACTGCTGCAATTGGTTCGGAGTGGAGATGCTCCCTAACATCCATCGTCCTGATATTCCTTCCACCGAGGATGAGGAAGTCAACTTCCTGGCAACGAGCATTGCCTCCATCAGAGTGGAGAAAGAGTTCAAACCCAGTAATCTCAAGTCAATGACAGGAGTGAGGCTCAATATTCAGTGAATTTTTCCTCCAGTTTCTCATCGTTAATCTATTGAACTGATCGATTTATTCTTTTTTACAGGTGAGTGAGGCTTACAGGTACGAAAAAGCGGGGAGAACTGCGAGGGAGGAGGCACAGAGGAGGAAGGATGCTTTTCTGAACCCTCTGGAGATCATCGATCACAGCAAGCCAGTGGACAAGAGCTTAAAATACGTAAGTAACAATACTTCAGTAGTGAAGTGGTAACGGAGACAAGTCGACTTATCTCCCAGTTGACTTTTTGAGGAATATTTCCGAATCTAAGGGAGATACCGAAATTCTTGTAATTACATTTGTTGTAGCACTCAATCAGCTCCATAAAAAAGGTTATAACAAAAATTTTGCTATCTCCCTTAGATTCCGAGATATTGATGGAAAACTGGTCAGTAGTCAAAATTGACTCATCTCCTTTTACCACTTCGCTACTGAATTGAATTATAAATCTTTTTGTCAACAATATTTTCAATGATGTTATTAATCAAACTTCGAAGGTCTGAATTTGATTCTCTGTTATAAACAGTTAGGAAATTTTTTTTTCAATCTGGAAAAAAATGAATGGACGTCTTTGACTCATTTTTGCGAATGATTTCATTTGAATTTAATTGATTGCAGTTCAGACCCCTGAGGCCACCGAATACAGTGATGGGACATGGTGAAGTACCTCCTCAGGTCGTTACGCAGACGAAGCCAAGGACGGGAAGAGGTAGGGCCCAATTAATCAATTGAGTTAATCAACTAAAATTAATTTACTTCATGTAAAATGGCTTATTGCAGGCCGTGGAGGAATTGCCTACGATTAGTTCGATCTTCCAGAGTTTCTGAAGGTCTTCTCGCCGTTCTTCACGTCTCCATGGGCTCCACCAGCCTAAAATTCTGGAGAACTTCATTCATAACTTTGGACTAAAGGACTTTGGAGGAAACTTTTAGAGATACTATTTTTTTGTTTGACATTGTTTATTCGATAAACAGTGAACGTTTTTTGAATCTATTTAGGACTTCGATGTATGGAATCGTGATGAATCATGAGAATAGGAGTTTCATAATGAGGGATACTAATTAGAAAAAAACATGAAAGATTAGAAAATGAGAAACAGGTTTTTCATATTATTTTTTATTACAATCCGATTATTAATCGATCTTCGTCGTTTTTCATGTCTTTTCGTGGGATTGTATACTTTCTTTCTTATTTTACTTTCTCGAGGATAATTCGATTATCAATAATCGATGTACTTCTTTTATTTGAGTATTTTGGATAAAACATGGATTAATTAAAGATGAGTATTTATGGGATTACAGTTGAGAGTTCTTGGAGATTATTGATGACTTATAGAAGTCTCGATGAATCATGAGAATAAGAGTTTCACTAATAGGAATAGAAATAAAAGAGAATTTGAAGAAGGGATGATTAGAGATAGATTCTCAATCAATTATTTATCAATAGACTCAAAGATGAGACTGATTACTGATGTAATTATGGTACAACATATGTAATCACAAATGAACTTTGTAATATCGATTAATAAGATACTAAGATTAATAAGTAAATACAATGGTTTTCACAGGAATTTTCAATACTTTTTTTTTTGCTGAATATCTCTGTATTCTTATTCTATGCCCACCATATGACCCCCATGAACCTTATTTTGACCCTTGTGAGTCTTAATTTTGGAGTCTTCATTTCGAGTACCAAATTTTTATCACCAAAAGTCGATTTGGATTTTTATAATATAGAGGGATCTAAAAATATCTTTACTTTTCCTCTAAAACACTTTTCACTATCATTGAGAAATTTCGTCGTTTAGAATTACCAAACTAAATTTCTGTTCAATCTTTCATGAAAATTTATAGAAATTAGGAATACAATATTTTATTGTATTATATTATATAATAGCAATTTAATTGATCATTCCATAATTTAATTGATTTTTCTCTAAAATATATGGAAATTTCAAGTAAATGAGTCGTTGAAACTTTCATGATTTTTTAAGTGAAATTTTTGAAATTATTTGAATGCCCCGCTATCCAAATATGGTCATATTCAGGGGTGGGGGTAGGCCCTGATATCTGCAAGATTCTTCGGATTTATCTGCTTATCTGTGTTCAGATATTTATGAGATCTGGGCCTACCCCAGGGGGTTTGGGGGGTGAATCCCCCTCCATTCTCCACTCAGTCCCCTCTCATTCATCGGAATCTCGCTGCTCGTGTTCTCGGAATCGTCAGTTCGCATCAGTTCGTCGTTAAATTCACGTGGTTTTACAGTTCGTCATCTCCGATATTTCCCGCCGCAATCGAGCACCGACTTGGCATTAAAAAAAATGCCGAAGAAGCAGCAAAAGAATGGCTTCTGGTATTTCATGATGGACTTCAAAAAAGCTGAGGAACATCATGGGAGATCCTTCCCCGGTGGCCTGAAGGAGGTGCAGAATGATCCCGAGTGCTCAAGACGCTGGAAGGTAAGTACATTTTTCTGTTTTTGTAAACATGACCGGGAACAAAGGAGTCTGATGGCACGTGTTAACATCGGGGAATTTTCTTTGTCTCGTGGTGCCCTTGACGTGTCGTTGAGTTTGAGGTTTTAATTTTATTCTTCATTCTGAAGCGTTAGAAAAGTTTCTAAAAATATAAAAAAATAAAAAATGAAAAAGTCTATGTTTCAAGGAAGACTCACGAAATAATTGAAAAATTGGAGCAAACGAGAAACAATTGGAAAACCTGATGAATATTTTAAACATTAAAATAAAAATAAAAGTCTGAATCTATTCGGATGTTCGTAAGAGAATATTCAATGAAAAATGTCAAGGAAAAATATTCTTGAAGAAGTATTTATAGAGAGTTCGTAATTTTTGTTTATTCTTTCTTTTCATCACTTCATTCTTGGAATGATGGAAATGGGACTCGCGGGGGTCAGATTGCTGACTGAGAATGATAACACGTTCGAATACGAATATAATCGAAATTCTTAAACAACCTTACGAATTAGACATTCATAATTAACCATTTAATAACGCGAGCCATATTCATTTCTCCAGAAAAATTGAAATTCCGATTAAATTCATGTTCGTTAAAGATTTTTTTTTTATTTGCACGAGACCTTACGGTCTATACAGCTTTACATAGATGATAAAAATATAGAAAGAAAAAAAAGGAAAATATATACATATATATAGTCATTTTATATACATGGTTACAATGTATCTCTTAGGTGTACATAATTTTTGCTACAAATCTTAAACTTCTATTTTACAACTGTTGACGAATTATATTCGTTAAAGATGGGAATATATCGAGAACGAGTGGTAGTACGAAAAATTCTCAAAAGACATTATTCATAGCCCCGAAAATTTTCTTCAAAAAATGTCTTTTGACATTTTCGTCTAAAATCACTCCTCATCAAGATTTTCACAAAAAAGTTTGGCGTTCCCCCTCTACAATCCAAACTGCGTGAACTTTCCCTGCTATCACAGTTTAGATTAATTCGTACGAATGAACTTCGTGTAGAATTCAAAAAAAATTCGGAACAAAAAATATTTTTCCCACCTGTAGACCTTATCCAACACCGAAAAGCAGCGTTACAATGACCTGGCCAAGAAGGAGAAGGGACGAACAGTGAAATTGACTGGATTGGGCGAGCCCATCGTCCTGATCCAGGAGAGAGCAAGACAACTCCAGGAGAAGGAGGAGAACATGAAATTAGACATCGCAGAGACGATCAGACTGGCCAAAGAGTGTGGCAATGTCCCAGATCTCACCTTCTACCTCATCCACGTGAATTACTTTTACTCGAAGGATAGGCCTGACTCGTCGGTGGATTACACCCCCGCTGAACTGGGGATCATTGAATTCTCCCTTGCTGAGGGAGTTAAGTCCTTCCTCCACCAGATTATCAACGTGACAGTTGAGATTGGCTACGCGAGGGAGACGATGGAGCACGGGGAGAGCACCCACAAGATCCCAACGGACTATGCGAGAGGGCAGGGAGACTATGGGAAGATTTATGAGACATTTCGAGAATTTTTTAAATCTACGAAGGAACAAACAGGCAAGATTCCTCCTATCTACACGGCGCAGAAGAATAAGGCTGTTGTCACTAGTTTCTTGGATAGGATTACGAGAGCAGCAGGTGCGTTGACGAATATTTTGCAATGATATTTTTATTTAGAGTTTGAAGGTCTCAATTTGATTCTGGAGGAGACATTTTCAAAAACTTATTCATAAACAATCTACTTTTCTAAAAACTAATTCATAAACAATCAATGTTTCACCTTAAAAATCATTTTTTCGAAATCGTAATACATTAGTCCACATTTAAGATTACATTTCATTCATCAGAGCTTCCGTTCAAGCCCCATTTGACCCTGGATTACCGAACATTTGGCAATGATTTTATTATTCAAACTCCGAAGATTTGAATTTGATTCTCCATTTTGAACCGTCAGGAACGATTTGAAAAATCGAATAAAAATTAGAACTCACTCAATTTTTCATTGCACTTCTCAGATCTCCCAGACGACACTTTCCCTCTCTACTCCCTGGAGTGTCTCTTCGGGAAGCTCATGTTCCTATGCAACCCAGAAATCGATCGCAATTGCAACCCCATCCTCCTGGCAGAATCGGAACTGGAGAAAGATGCATTCGCCTACTCTTCAAACATCGAGTGCGAGGTATTCAAATAAATACTTCACATTTTTGTTCCTCCATTAGAAAAAAAATTCCAAGATTCACCAATTATATCTTCATCGTTCCACCCTTCTGCTTTATTTATTAATGACTGATTTTCCTCTTTATTGCCAGTATCATCACATGATCGAAGGGACTTCCATCCACTGCTCCCTCTCTATCGTTCGCCAGTGGGGCTTCACAATTTGCGACTATTGCTGCTCCTTCTTCGGTGTTAAGATGATCCCAAATGTCCATTGCCCAGCTGTTTCCATGACTGACGACCTGGACATCCTGGCGACAAATATAGCATGTCTCCACATCGAGAAGAAGCATATTCCAGGCACTGTCAAGAGCATGACTGGGGTAAGACCTCCATTTTCCAATTGCAATTTGCATTTTCAAGGCATTTCGTTTTTAAAAATTGCTAATTACATGAAAAAATCGACGAAAACTTTACATTTCAGTTCAACTTTTCCGTAAAAATTTATAAAAATCAGGAAAATTTAGGCAAATCATTTTTTTGAATCGAAAATCAAAGTAATTTGGGGAATTGTCATCTTCCTGCGGCTGAAAAATTTGCAATTCCTTTTGATTTGTTGCAAATTAGAAATTTTATGATTTTATTTATTATTTTTCAGGTCACTGAGGAGTATAGGCTCAAGAAGGCTGGGCGCACAGCACAAGAGGAGGCGAGACGGAGGAGAGAAGCTATCAAGAATCCACTTGTCATTATCGATCACAGTTTGTTGCAGCCGAAACCACTATCACCACCACCACCAGTACCTGTTGAGAATCGCAACAAACACGTGAGTCCAGTCGTTAAAGAGATGAATAGGAAATTAACGAAAATGTTGAAGTGGAATTCACAAATAGTGCTTTCTCCACCCCTTGATAATTATCACATTATCCTGAGAACGAGAGACTTTACTGAAAAATGTCACATAACATTTTAGTAGGAAATTTAATTTTTCACAAAATTGTTTTTTTGACATTTTCCCCTAGGATCGTTCGTTATTGAGATAAATCAATATTGAGTGCAGAATTTATGAAGAATCAATTTTGCACGTAAAAACCTTTTTGGAAATGGACATAAATTTTTTGATATATTTAGGATTTCCCGAGAAAAACATCTTCCATTATTTATTCACGATTTTATTTCAATTCCATCAACAGAAATGGTTTTATTTAAATCATGATAAATGTAGAAATGAATGATCACATAAACATTATTCCAATTGCAGTTGAGACCCCTGAGAGCACCAAAATCCTTGAAACTGATTGTGGAAGGATCTGATGGGGATGTTCCAGCTCTGGATGACGTCAATTTCCCATCAATGGGTAATTCATCTCCTATTTTTAAATTTAAAAAAGGCGACCAATGATTCAAGCCTCAACACAAAAACCTTTTCAATCGTTATTTCACTCAATTTTATCCTCGATGAATTTATAAAAATTGCATTGGACTTTCAGGTGCTCCACGACATGCCAGATCCGCCAGGATTGTTTCTAAACTCGTGAAGGGGGCAGGTGAGACGATTAATACCTCAACTCAATTAATTAGTATTATACTTCAACTGAATTCATTAAAATTGGTCAAATTATTTAATTAAAAAAATTGTTTGTTGCAGGTCGTGGGGGAATCCCCTCTCAATAGGACTCTTGAAACTCGAACATTGAAACCCTTTTTTTTATTATCTCAAGTCTTCATCAGTCCCACGAAATTCCGAGGAATTTCTCCCATTTAAATCTTTCGGATGAAAAATTTTCAGATGTCGAGTTCAATGGAATCAGTTTCATGTAATTGAATTATCTCTTTAATTTTTGTTTTACTTTCTCGAGATGAATCGAGACATTTTTCTCCATTCAGAATGTTTTGATTAAAAAACTATCAATTTCAAGAATTTTGACTGAAATCATCATACAGAATCAATGAATTGTATCTAGTGATGATTTTCATTGAAAGAATTTGTGATTTAATAGAAGTATTACAAGATCAAAGTACAATTATGCGACCAAATGTAACAGATTTGTATTGAACAAAAATTGTGTTCGTGAGATAGAAATGACTGGCAGATTCATACGTTATTATGCATTGGAAATATATTTTTTAATGTTCTGTGTGAAGATGATGATTTCAAGTTACCATTAATTACCTAAAATCAATTATAACAGAAACAATCAGATGTCTTGATTGTTGGATCATTTATATTAAGGAATTAGTGCTGAATTATGAGTATTACAGGATAGAATATAATGATAGAATTAAATATAATTATAAGTTGCGAGAGAACTCATAATTTAGAAGCCCAAAGTCGTGGCCTTCAACGGAAAAAACTGAAATTCATATTTCATTATTCATTAATAATCAACTCATGATTATTAGCTCCATCTTGTTATCACAGAAAGAAAATAAATAATTGTGTCTTTCTAAGATAAAAAAGAAAATTCGTACCCTTGAATAATTTCTTTCATAAATTCTCAATAAATCTATTTTTCAAATTGCCATTCCTTTGGAAATTCTTTCAAAATTATCAATTTTTCTTAAAAATTTATTTTTTAAATAAATTTTTCAAGTCTATACCATTATCAAATAAAATAGAAATCCCTCTCATGATAATAATTCCCGCCAGATCTCTTTCATGAACAGTCGATAAAACAGATGCCAAATTTAGCATCTGCATTCAAAAATTCAAAACTTTCTCCTCTACTTTCACAAATTAATTGATGAATTAATGAAATTCTTCAATTCTCGAAAAAATTCATTATCAACTTACGCAACAGTAAATATATTAATAATCCCCATAACAATGCCCATTCATTTGCATAAAACCATAAACCAATCCGTGAGAAATGCAACGAAGAATTACCCAATGAAATGAAAAAGAAAATCTATTATTCCTTCAACATCACATCATTACGTCAATTTCTATTTACGGAAATAGCCAAGTGATAAAACGTGCAAGCCCATCCCCTCGGAAAAAATATGTGACAAATATGCAAATGCCACGGTGATTGCAATGCGCCTGTAATCACTGTAATTAATAACCTTGACACTAAAGGAAGCCCGAGCTAAAAAGGACTCGTGTATCTAGCCACAAGCCGAGGGTAAACCGACAGGATGAGATGGCTTACGTCACCAGTGTGAGAGAGCACTCAGCATTATACTAAGTCGTCTTCCTTACAAAAAACTCGACGTCCTTAGAGGCCGTCCGAGCGCTAAATTACCACCCCAATTTTCCCTCTCAGTCTGTTTCATTCCCCTGTTACAAACGATCCTCACCTGCAAGAGGAAGAAAATAGTGAAAAAGAGGGGGGGAGAAAGAGAGAGAGAGAGAGATGAGGGATAAAAAAATAAATAAGAGGGAAAAATATCTCACATCTCACGGGCAAAACCTGACTGTGGAAGTCAAGGCCAAAGACGCTTCTCCTTTCGAGATATTCTAGAGATTATTATAAAGATCAGCTTCCTTCCACTGGAACGCCGTAAAAACCCCTGGCTCCTATGCTTCACTAAATTTAACCATCAATATTTGCCGCATAAAATAATAAATTCATACGACGAATTTCTATTTTTTCAAATCCAAGAATTGAAAAATAGAAGTATTTCTATGAAAGGGAATTCGCAATGGTAAATTGACGAGTGGCGGGGCTGAGGCGCCCAAGATGGCTGACAAAATCTTCCAACTCAAGATTTTCAACCACTCTATCAGGTCCTGTAGAGATCGATGGAGTTAAAATCCACTTGATATTTAGCGCAATTAATTGAATGAGAAACCAGCTCCGATTGTGTGTATCAATACAAAACTTCCCCCAATATAATTTGTGTTTATTTAATTCGAGATGTTTTGTGTCGGCCATGTTGAAGCGTCAGCGCCGCCTCGCGCTCCTTTAATATCGCCAAAATAACCAGCAGTTCAAAGTCGAATGCCGGCAATTTTTCATTTCATGTCCACTGTTGATAAAAAACAGCCAAATTTTTTTCTCTTTCACTCACCCCTCAACATTTATTTACAAAGAACAATACATTTTACATTCTGCGCCCAGCCGTAAATATCTCTATGAAGTAAAATCAACAGTAAGAGTGAGAATGAAGTATTGAGAGAATGAAAATGGAAATCATAAAGGAGAACACGGTTTTGCGTAGGAAGTGCAAGTACGGCATTCGCCCACGTTTCGAGAAGAAGTGGCTGCCTTAAAAATTTAACGGATGAGAGAGAAGTTGAGATCACTTGGAGCACGTGGATTGGTTTCACCAAAATTCACCGGTTCCTCTTCGTCCCCTTACTCCAGAGAAAGTTAAAGTTCTGGGTACTGCCGCCGCCTTTATCTCTGCATCTTTTTTTTCAATGCTATATGCCGCAATGATGCTCACCTGGATCTTACCTTATTTGTCCATCGGTGTAAAAATCAACTGCAACCGGATTTTCTCAAAATGATTCGTGTATGCGCCGGAAGTTACGAGTTTTATATTTCTACTTCAAACATATTTAAAGTAGCTCTACATATTTAAAGTAGCTCTAAATTCAAAGATTATTGAAAACTGCGAAAAAAATGCAGAAAACTCGATTAGATTCGGAATTGTAATTTTTTTCTCAATTTAATTATCGTTTGGGTTCTTCAATGAACAAATGTTTAAAAATCTGAATTTAACCCAGTGTCTAATGTGAAAATCAACATTTCCATTGTAATCAAAGATTAAAATCTCAATTTTTTTTCATTAGATGTGAAAAAATCAAGAATTTTTTTGACACCTCATAAAAATGATGCACCGTTTTGCAAACAAGTTCTATTAGGGGACAGGGGGAAAATGGACACTTTTGACTTTTTTTAAAATGTTCATGACGTGTTGAATTGTTCATGAAATGGAATAATTTTATTTTTCAATAGAAAGAACAATGATTCCTCTTTCTGATGAGCTTAGGCTGAGCTCAATTGATAAATCTGTTTCTGAGTTATGAATATTTAAAAAAAGTCAAAAGGGTCCATTTTACCCCATCTTCCCCTATATATTTATATGAAGGAAATGTTTGAAAAAATATCAATATTTCGCAAAATTTCATTTAAATAATACTGACAGGGTATGAATTTTTTCAAATTTTTCCCATACAATTTAGTTGAAAAATTCAAACACTGAAAATATCCAAAAGTGCAGCAGAGCCCGGCTGAAGGATAGAGCTACTTTAATGGCGCCCTTCTAGGAGAATTTTCACATGCCCTCACCTGACTCGAAATAATTATAATGATGATATTTGTATGTAATACATATTATTTAACACCCAACAATTTGAAAATAAGACCTGAAAATATACCAATGTTAATTACGTGCGGGGTTCAAGGTTCAGGTTGAAATAAAAATCAGTCGTACCTTCATCATCTTTATTTTCACGTGAGCCCGGGAGTACGTATTTTCCATCTTGTACACGTATTTCCTTCCCGTGCACATGGGGTAGAGACATAGGTGCTTATTAGTTGGTTCAGTCTCGTGTAATTGCCACTCATGAAAGAAAAGTAAAAATTAAGAATCAAGAGGAATGATAAAAACACATATGTATACAACTTACCGTTACTGCATCTGCAGATACACGGTGTGCACGTAGGTGAGACATTTATGCGAAATGGAATTTAATGGAGATGAGGGAAGTCTTGCAGGGGATATTCGATATTTCTTCGCGTCGGATTGACGAATTAATCGTCCTTTCGGAAAACTTTTTACTTTGGAATGGTTCATAGACTACAAAGACTCGATTTATTTAAAGTAGCTCTACGCTTCGGCCGGGCTACGCTGTACTTTTGGATATTTTCAGTTTTTTAATTTTTCAACTAAATTGCATGGGAAAAATTTGAAAAAATTCATACCCAGTCAGTACTATTTAAATTAAATTTCGCAAAATATTGATGTTTTTTCAAACATTTCCCTCTTATAAACAAACAATAAAACTTGTTAGCAAAACGGTGGAGTATTTTTTATGAGGTGTCAAAAAAATTCTTGATTTTTTCACATGTAATGAAAAAAAATTCAGATTTTAATCTTTGATTACAATGGAAATGTTGATTTTCACATAAGACACTGGGTTAAATCCTGATTTTTAAACATTTCTTCTTTGAAAAACCAAAACGATAAATAAATTTTTATTCAGGCATGTATGACCTCTCGGCCTTTTACATATGACCAAAACGATAATTAAATTGAGAAAAAAATTAGAATTCCGAATCCAATCGAGTTTTCAGCAATTTTTTTGCAGTTTTCAATAATCTTCGAATTTACCGTAAGGGTACAGCTACTTTGAGAATATTCGAAAAGTGGACTCTAGGCAAGTTTCCTATTCATAATGAGGCAATAAGTTTTGAAAAAGTCAAAGTCACGAGACTTTCCCGACAATCCTGACAAAATTAATTATCGCGAGTTATTCTGCTCAGGGACAGTGTCGTTGAGATGAGCAGAATGATTTATTCAAACTATTTTTAATCATTATCTACTCCAGGAAGTTACGCAATGGCTGATTGCATCGAGATTGGTATGATTACTTGAGCCAGCAAGAGTAGCCTGAATGGCTCCATCATATTTTCTCTCGATGCTGATGTATGTGGCCGTGAAATATAGCACCTGATTGTCAAGAACTGGTGTGTAATTGATGGATCTTCAATCAACTTTGCTTACATCCTCTTTTCAATGATTTACAATGAATTAAATAACATGAGTAATGGTGCTTTTTCATTGTGGTTGAAATGCGGGAAATTATTCATGTCTCCGTGAGTTACCGAGTCGGTAAAGGTACAACCTGAGGACCCGAGGGTCAATTTTTCATTTCATGTGCATCACTGATGCTAAACAATAACCAAATTTCTTTTTCCCTCATTCATCCCTCAACATTTATTTATGGATAACAATACATTTTATATTGAAATTAAAGTAGCTCCACCCTTCGGCCGGGCGACGCTGTACTTTTGGATATTTTCAGTTTTTAAATTTTTCAACTAAATTGCATGGAAAAAATTGGAAAAAATTCATACCCATTCAGTATTATCTGAATTAAATTTCGCAAAATATTGATATTTTTTCAAACATTTCCCTCTTATAAATAAATAATAAAACTTGTTTGCAAAACGGTGGATTATTTTTTATG